ATATTCAATTTCAAAATGATATTCTTATGAATTTAAGATGTCCAAAACTTCAAGATTTTAGATGGTATAAAGATATGTTTTTAACACGTATCATGCAAAGAGAAGATTGTCAACAATCTTTTTGGAAAGAAAAATTCATTTCAGGACTTTCAAAGCTTTTCGCTGAGAAAGTGAAAAATTCAATTTTAGAAGAAAATAATGATCTTCTTCATCTTACTTATGGTGAAATTATCAATTTCATTAATAAGGAAGCTCTCAATTTATGTAATGATTTAAAGCTTAAATCTAAATTGAAAGCAGAAAAGGCTCAAACTCAAAATGAGTTAGGATCTTTCTGTGAACAATATGGATTTGAGAAAATCTTACCGCCTTCTTCAAAATCAAGAAAAATTCTTCATAAGAAAAGATTTTCAAAAAGAAAATATTTTCCTGAAGAAAATTTTCACAAAAAGAAATTTTCAAAAAGAAAACAATTTTCTAAAAGAAAATTTACAAAAAAATTTCAAAAGAAAGATTCAAAAGTTACATGTTGGAAATGTAACAAAACTGGTCATTACTCAAATAGATGTCCGCTCAAAGAAAAAATTAGTACTCTTCAAATTGATGAAGATACTAAAAATCAACTTCTCAATCTTATTCAGTCTAGTTCTGATTATGAGTCTAATTCTGAATTAGAACAAATTTTTATCAACCAAGAAGATTCTGATTATGAATCTACTCAAAATTCTTATTCTTGTACTTCTTCAAATGATAAAGAAATTTGTGGTTGTAAAACTATAAATGTTTTAACAGGAGAAGAAGAAATTGTTCAAAATATCATTGACAGGATTGATAATCCTAAACTTAAAGAGAAATTCTTATCTCTGACTCAATCCTCTACCTCAAAAGAAAATTTTGATGATATCAGTCTTACAAATATTCTTCGACGAAACGTCAAATAAAAGATTTTTGAATAGAAGTTTTTCTACTCAAAACTCAAGATAAAAAGTTAAAGTCAAAGACTCCTTCTTATTCATCCTCTTCTAGTTCTTCTGATGAATAATTCAATCCTCTCATTCCTTCAAACATTGAATCTGAAGAAGAAATGATTAATGTTATTAATTGTGTTCAACTTAAAAAAATGGTACTTTAATATGATTATTGTAGCAAACAAAGAATTCAAATTCACTTCTAGAGTCCTTATTGATTCTGGAGCTAATCAAAATTGTATTCGTGAAGGATTGATACATACAAAATATTTTGAAAAAACTACAAAGCGTCTTTATGGTGCTAGTGGTAAAAAACTCAATATTAATTACAAAATTTCAAAAGCTCATGTTTGTAATTCAAATATTTGTTTCAAAAATGTTTTCTATTTGATAAAAGATCTGGATCAAGATGTAATTCTAGGTACTCCTTTTATTGTTCAAATTTATCCTTTTAAAGCTGATTATAAAGGATTAACTACAAAAATCTTTGGAAAGAAAATTCATTTTGAATTTTCAAATCCTCCTTCTTATAAAGATGTTAATTTTTTAAAAGAAGCTGCAATTTCAAAAATTATTCATAATATCAATTTAAAAAGAAATCATGTTAAATTTCTTAAAGAAGAAATTTCTTTTCAAAAAACTGAAAAAAGATTAGAAGAGGATTCTTCTATCAAAAATCTTATTTTAAATTTACAAAAGAAGATTGAACAAGAGATTTGTTCAACTATTCCAAATGCTTTCTAGGATAGAAAGAAGCATATTGTTTCTCTTCCTTATAATTCTGATTTTCATGAATCAAATATTCCTACAAAATCTCGTCCTATTCAAATGAAAAAAGAATTACTTGATTTTTGTATCAAGGAAATCAATGATTTACTTGAGAAGAACTTAATTCGTCCAAGTAAATCTCCATGGAGTTGTTCTGCATTTTATGTTAACAATTCTGCTGAAATTGAACGAGGTGTTCCACGCCTTGTTATCAATTATAAACCACTCAATAGTGCTCTTCAATGGATTCGTTATCCTATTCCTCAGAAGAAAGATCTTCTGAATCGTCTTTCAAAAGCTATCATCTTCTCAAAATTTGACATGAAGTCAGGATTTTGGCAAATTCAAATAAAGGAAGAAGATAGAGACAAAACTGCATTTAATGTTCCTTTCGGACAATACGAATGGAATGTTATGCCTTTTGGCCTTAAAAATGCTCCTTCTGAATTTCAAAAAATTATGAATGATATTTTCAATTCCTTTTCGGATTTCATTATTGTTTACATTGATGATGTCCTCATTTACTCAAAATCTATTGAACAACATTTTAAGCATATTCATACATTCATACATGTAATCAAGAAAAATGGTTTAGCAGTCTCTGCTAAAAAGATTGTTTTGTTTCAAACAAAAATTCGTTTTCTTGGTCATAATATTCAAAATTCTTCGATAATTCCAATTCAAAGAAGTCTTGATTTCACTGATAAATTTTCAGATGAAATTAAAGAAAAAACAAGTTTGCAACGCTTTTTAGGTTGTGTCAATTATGTGGCTGATTTTGTCAAAGATATCCGTCAAATCTGTGCCCCATTATTCAAAAGATTACAAAATAACCCTGACCCATGGAGTCACGAGTGTACGCATGCTGTTCAAAAGGTGAAAAAGTTGGTCAAAAATATTCCGTCTTTCAATTCTTGACCCCACAGCCTCAATTATCGTTGAAACAGATGCCTCAAATATAGGATTCGGTGGTGTGTTAAAGCAATTACCCCTAGGATCGTCAAAAGAACAGTTAGTCAGATTTCATAGTGGAGTCTGGTCTGGACCTCAAATCAACTATTCAACTATCAAAAAAGAGATTCTTTCAATAGTTCTCTGCATTTCCAAATTTCAAGATGATTTGATCAATAAAAAATTTATTTTGAAAACTGTTTGCAAAGCTTCAAAAGATGTTTTACAAAAAGATGTAAAAAATCTTGTTTCCAAACAAATCTTTGTAAGGTGGCAGGTAATTTTGTCCTGTTTTGACTTCGAAATTCTTTATATTCAAGGAAAATCAAACTTTTTGGCAGATTTCCTCACAAGAGAGTTTATTCAAAAGAGTGAGAAAAATGAGTTGGGCAAAGAAAGTTGAAGAAGAAGAGGATTCTCAAAATCCTTTTCAAACAAAAACCTCAAGAAAGAAGAAAAGTTCAATCCCTTTCTTCGAAGATCCCCCAAAGGATCAAAAGGAAGCTTCATCTTCCTCAAATACTCTTTCAACCTTCATCAAGAAATCTGATCAAAAGCAAAAAGTCGAGTCCTCAACCCCTTCAAATTTCAAAAAAGCCGTTCAAAGTTCTGGTAAACTTCCTCAAATTAATCCTCCAAACTCTTTCAAATACTTTACTAAGAGTCTTTCTGATTGTGTTCTTACAATGGAAAGTTCTTGGATCAATCGTTATGGCGGTCTTGATGATTGCCTTGAATCAATTCTTCCAGAAAACTTTTGGTTCATGCCATCAAATATCCAAAAAACTAGAGATTACTACGAAACCATTCTTTCTTTGACTGGTTCTGCATTAATCTTTCATACTCCTGAACCAAGAGATAAATCAAATATTATGTTTTCAAAAATTTCAATTCTAAGAGTTCTGTCTTATGAAGACTGGGGACAGAATCCTTGGGAAGAAAAAAGATTAAATCTTTCAAAAACATTTTTCACTTGTCAAGATACTTTCAATTATTTTGATTATCAGAATGCTTGGTATAAGGCTCTTCTTTTTAGGCCTGTCACCCATTCTTGGTTTATCAATTTTAATCAAAATTGTAACCCTCATTTCCCAAGTTGGTTTCAAACTTGGTTTCAGTATCATGGACTTGAAGAACAAATTTTGTCCAGTTTAGTTCTTCAAGGATATGAATACTTCAAAAGAGAGGCAAAACCTTTTCTCAAGCCTCAAGAAAATCTTTTGTTTCAATTTGCTTTCAATATGAAAGTTTCATGGATTTTCTGTTGGGATTTCTTCCATTATGAAAATTTTCAAGATATGTTCTCAACCCACAAAATTACAAGAAGATTCAAGATCAAATGGTGGGCAAAGTTCAAAGAAACAAACTGTTGTCCAAAAGCAGTTCAATCATGGATACAAGAACAAAGAAATTTGGGTGTACCTAAATTTTCAAAGAAAGAACAAGAAGATCAAGCTGATTTTTTGACTGAAAAACAAAGAATCATTGCAATGTTATCAAAATGTAAAGATCCCAAAGAATTATTAGAAATTTATGATCAAATTTCTAAACAAGGATCTTCAAAAACAAATGAATCTGATCAAGAAGAAGAATCTCAATATTCTCAAGAAACTGACAATGGTGATGACCTAGTTGATCTAGATGACTATGAGGAATTTCTTGCTCAAGAGAAAGCTGCAAAAGCTCAAAAAAAAACTTCAAAATGACTATATGGACCCAGTTTTCTTGATGAATTGAGAAATTCAAGGGTCTTTCAAGCAAGAGAAATTCTTCTCAATCTCTGTCCAATTCAAAATCGGTGGTGCCACATTTGTCAAGATTCCCATCAACTTTGTGTCAGACATCAATATCTACTTTAATAAAGAAAAAGATTATCTTTATTAAAGAAAGTCAAAAAATTGGAAACTTTTGACTAAAGTTGATGCTGCTTTTCAAGATGCTCCATTATGATGTCGTCCACTTCTCTTTTCAAGATTCTTTCCCCAAAATGAAAGAAATTTCAAGCCCGGACTTCATTATAAAAAGAATTCAAGATTTCATTTCAAGACAGAGCGAATTCAGCAAGAAGAAGTTTTACTTTTCTTTGTAATTTGTTCTCTCAAATACCTTTCAATTATCCTTGTAATATTTAAATCTTCTTCAATTATCAATAAAAGTACCTATTTTCATAAATTTCTGTTCTTCTATTTCATCTCCTATCCCCTGGGTGAATAAAGTAAGTCCATGGATGGAGGAGTAGGTAATCCGCCCTTTGCCCTGGGGAATGGTTTGATATAAGGTAAAACTGGGACCGTTTCCTGTCAACATATGTTTTCAGGAGACAAATGGTATCAGAGCCAAGTTGAAAGGCTTGCGATCCCAGAGGTACAAGGTTCGAAACTCCTTTGGCATGAATAAAGTAAGTAAGTCCATGGATGGAGGAGTAGGTAATCCGCCCTTTGCCCTGGGGGAATGGTTTGATATAAGGTAAAACTGGGACCGTTTCCTGTCAACATATGTTTTCAGGAGAGAAATAATATATATATATATATATATATATATATAGAGAGAGAGAGAGAGAGAGAGAGAGAGAGATGCCAAGCATCGGTAACATGGCATAGTAATTAATTGGTGGATAAATATATGGTGAGTATCAAGATTTGAATTAAATTTTTTATCCACCAATAAATTGATATGAAATGTCATCCGTGAACAGAAGTAATAAGTTGGATAGTACTAATTACATTTTGAGAAAAGATCACTAGTCTAGAAGAGGAAATTTTCAAGTATCATATATGCATATTAAGATACTGTGCTAGCACTTGAAAAATACAAAAGGATCATCATGAATATTCATAATCTGTTGGCAAAAACCCATAAATATGCAAATCAACTCTCCTGGTAACCACAAACGAGCTCCCACTCAGACAAAGCCGCAAATCATTTAGGAGGTGAACTTTTGTTAGTTGGCATCAATCATTCTAGAGAGATGCTGGCATTCAAATCAATAATAAGAGCTACTCCTGAAAAATGACCCAAAGATGACACGGAGGAAACCAACCTGGCGAATGGCAGCTTCAATTTTCTTCTGTGCCTCCACGTCAAACGGGTCTGCATGAAGTAAAGCCTGCATTGCAAAGACACAAACCCATACATATAGGCTTCTTAAATAAAACGTTTGAATAAACTATATCAAAAAGCAAACAAGAAACAAGCAGATTTAGACCGAGCAATTCAAATTATTTCTAGGGATATTTTTTTCTGCTAGACATTTAGCCCCTGTTTGGCCCCCATTAATTTTCATTCCATTAAATTTCATTTTTCTCTCTCCTATTTTCAATCAAACAATTTTCCATAAAATAATATTACACGTAAATCAAATACTTTTCATTCTTTTTCAACCACTCATTTTTCAAAAAAATATTATTCCTCCCATTTTCATTTCTACAAAATGGGGGCCAAACGGGGGTTTAATGTCTCCTTCATAATCACCTGACCTACAAAGGCAGAAAGACATCTAAAAGCACTGCAATGAAGTCCTTGAAAAAAAATAATCTCCGTCAATAGCCTTGAGAAGCAAATGCATGTCCACTCCCTTCCCACCCAAAACAAGGGTATTCTTCCAGATCCTTAGTTATCCCATGAGATTGGAAACATAAGTTTCAATTGTATGAAATATTGGAAAAACGAACTGAATAAAAATCCCACCTTTTTAAAAAGTAATCCGTATACAGAATTTTGGTCTTCTGGCAACTAATTAGCAGAAAATAAATGGATAACATAACTTTCTTGAGGCTTAAACAAAGGTGCCAAAAAAAAGGGAACATTGATTTGTCACTTGGGAGCTAGTATGATATACTAGGTTCAGCAAATGACATCATGTAAATATCATGATATGAACCTCAGAAGCACCTCCCAAAACTTTTTCACAACTGAGAACAGAGTTCTGATAAATTAAAAGTTAACCCAATGCATATTAGAAACCCCACCAAGAAATCTACAGAGAGTTGTTACTGGCAAACGATACTAACCATTTCCTCTTCTTGCTGACGCCGTAATTCACCTCTCTGGTGATTACGAGAGCGTAAAATGTCTTGTAGCCTGTTGAGATCATTTCCAAGGATAGCTTGTGCCAACTCGGGATCACTCTGAAAATTCAAATAGCATGAACAACCCCAATAAATCATCAGACTCGTGAAGGTTTAACTTCACAAATATGGCATTGCAATTAGCTATATAATCACAAAAAATTAACATCTTTAAGCATAGACCAGTTGTACAGTTGTAGAAAGACTTAAGACATGACAACCAACATTCAAAATTTGTTAGGACTAACTTTTAACCTTTAACAATATTAACTGCTTTTATATATGAAGCATGCTGATTTTGACACAGGCGTAAAAAGGTAAATTAAAAGCAATTTAGATAGATGCTACAGAAGTTTCAGTTAAGTACATTACAAGAACAATTTTCTATCACAGTATATCAAAATTCATGCTACAGAAGTTTCAGTTAAGTACATTACAAGAACAATTTTCTATCACAGTATATCAAAATTCATGCTCAAAACAAAATAAGCTGTTCCAGATAAAAGGAAAGTATAAAATGGATAATTTTTACAGCCTTCTTACAAAGATAACAAGATGACAGCTACACAAGAACCATTTTATTGAAATCAAAGAAATAACATAACTACTTTAGCTCATCGAGACATTTTCCACCAAAATTAGCTAATAGCAGCAAGTTTTTACCAACTCATAAATTAAAGACAAGCCAAAAAATGCTTCTACGTGAGAGGAAAGGGCACTTAAAGGTCAGATCACACTTTACCTGGAACAGCTGAGCCATCACATTAGAATCGTTACGCAACTGCTGCTGCAAAGCTGAGGGGTTCATTGCAGAACCATCTGGATTGAACCCTGCCTCATTTGGGGATGCTCTACAGTAGGATAAAAGTCACACTATTTAGAATGAGAGGGCATTGCAGCAAGCTTTAAAATATTCTTCTATACCAAAAAGAGAAGTAAAGTAAAAATGATGGAGGAAGAAAATGGTCGTTGTTAGGCTGAATTAGTTTGTCATGACCCATTTAATATTTACAATTTCATAGGATGCTAGATGCTATTTGGTAAAGACTCTTTTTATTGGTTTTGAGTCTCTTATTTCTTTTAAATACTTTGTAACCGCACGTCATGAAGCAGACAGAATTTACAAAACTGATTCAAGGCCCTTGCTCCAAGTTCTTCTTAGTTTGTTCTTCCTTGAGATTGGCTCGAAGAAGCTCAATCTTCTTCTTGGTTCGGATTTGAGCCTCATCCCATGTCAAAAAGACATTTAGCATTAGTCCAAAACAAATAAGTACGGATGGATAGGGGTGCGGCGAGCCATGGTCTTCGCCGGAAATTTTTTCCCATGTATGGAGTGGCTGCGTGCTCGCCTGAATCCGTCCTAACTCACCCAAATGCCAGGATCCACCACTGAGTTGGATTGTATGAACTCGTTAATTATGCCACGTTAAAAATTGCCAACGAATTCTATTTGGACTTACTATTATAATTCTTCTTCTTCTTCTTTTTTTCCAAAATCTGCAATTTAATAGTACCAATATTAAACGTGGCAGCAAATTATTAGACTAGACGAACCTAGCACCAGAAGATGAAGCATTTGAGACCATCATCACCAAATCTCCATCAGTAACACCAAGAGCACCCAATTTCTCAGAATTACTCATCTCCTTTCCGTTGAATAGCAGCTCTTGCTGCTGTAGGGGCACTTGTGTCTGCTCGTTCAATATTATAAACACAAAATATACATTAAGCCCAATATATTCATCCAAAATTAAAAAGAACCAAACAAGAAATCTAACCTCAACTTCCAGAAGAACTTTCAAGTTCTCAACCTGTAATGAGTATCATCATCATCGGGAGAAAAAGAAAAACACTCCATAACATAATTAATGTAAAATAAAGGTATGAATATGTTACAGTTTCGTTGCGATCGACGTCTAGAGTGAGGATTTGTTCATCGGCTGTCATTACAGTGATCTTCATCTTCTCCAATTAGCTTTGAACCTGTTCGAATTCCTCGAAAAATGAGATTTGAGCGATATTTGTAATGTGTAATATATAATAATGAATAAATAAATAGGCTATCTCAACTGTCAAAGTTATCTTTTGTTGACTAATCCTGGAAAGAGAAGGAGACTCTTGAGATGGATCTGTTTGAAATGATTCGGTCTTATTAGTGCTTATTTGGAAAAATTACAATGAAATTATAATAATAAAAATCATTGGATTGATAGAAAATCCCATATTTTTAAGAATTTTGTTATTTGTATACAAACGTTTGACGCACCCCTCACGTGAACGAGGGGTCCAAGTCAATAAAAAAGGCGTGGGCTCCCTTTGTTTGAGGGAAGTGTACATCGACGTGTTCATCAGTGTACGTGTAGTACAATTATATTTTTAAGTGCGATATACCTCTCTGTCCATTAAAAATCACAAGCCTTTTGTGCAAAATATAACCTTTTTTGTACAGGAAAAAACTTTCCATCGTTCGAGTTTGTTAGTTTAATTGTTCAAAACAATAAAAATTATCAAGATTAAAAAAAGAATAATAATAATTCTGGTATCAAGCTTTATATTTTTTTACAAATTAAACCAAAATATTTTATTTGTACCTCTCACAATCCCAAATCGCTATAACTTTATTTTTCCTACCCCCATCACATGATTCACATCCCATTTCTTCTTAAGCGCTTGTTTGATAGGGATGTTAAGTCAATTAAAATCAAATTTTTTATCGTTATTTCACTATTTCAACCGTCATTTTTGAATTCTTCTCTCATAGGTAGGCTCATTTTATTTGTAACGGTCAAAAAATCAATTAATAAAATTTCTACCAAACAAGTTCTAAATTTTTTGACATTCTCCGACTATTATTTGAATTGAAGAGGCATATAACTTTCACAAATAAAGTTTTCCATTCTATTTTCCTCTCCAATCATACTTGAAAATTCACTCGTCTACTTTCGTGTCTCTCTTCTTTCTCTTTGTCTTTCACGTACACGGAGTAAAAAAAATTTCTCAACTCATTTACTTCACCTTTGTCCCCACCATGCCCCCTCCCTTCGCTGCCCACTAACCTGAACCATCCACAACTCGACCTGAGCCCTCCAAATACACTCCAGGATCGTAGGTGATTGGTTCAATTTCACAATTTATTTTTTTTCATTTTCGACACGAGTTTAGCTGAGATCTTAGGTGTTTCATCAAGTGAATAGGATAGGTCTTTTGGGATTTTCGACTATTGTTGAAAGGATTATGGGTCAGAATCACAAAGCTAGATATTTCACTATTTTGGATAATTATGATTGGTGGAAGGATGTTACGTTGCTGGATTTTCTCAGTAAGGTAGGTAGATTCGTGGAGATTATGTAATGATATTGAAAGAGAGCATGAAGAAGTGACTCGAATCGGAACAAGAATGAGTTACACTTAGTTCACATACCAGATACTATAGGCCTACAATTTTCTTAGACTTTTTCGAGATAAAGGTATTAGGGCATCTCCGATGGGCACCCTTTTGCACCAAATTGTACCAAAAATTGGTGCAAACGTCCCTCCAATGGTGCAACATGAATAGCGTTGCACCATATCTAGATTATGGTGCACCATATTAATTAATTATTATTAACGGTGCAATGTTCATTTTGCCCTTCTCTTTCACTTTTCAAAGATAATGATTAAGGGTATGTGTGTCATTTTTCGTTCTATAATAATAATAATAATTATTATATTATTAAAGTTTATTATTTTTTTATATATAATCAATAATAGTTAAGGATTTTTTAATTTAGTAATTATCTTCGTAAATTTAACATAATTATTTATAATAAATTATTAATATAATCAATTATTTTCGTCAATTTAACATGATATATAAAAACATATGAATAATTTAGTAATCAATAACAATTCAATATATTTGTTAATTTAACGTAGTTATGATTTAGTAATATATATTTATAAAATAAATATTTTTTTAAATAAATACATTGTCCAAAATTGAAAGAATGAATAAAATAATAAAATACTATTCATTTGGTGTAATGATTAAAGATGAATTTTAGTTTGGTACAAGATTTTGGTGCAAAATGATACAAATTTTGGTGTAGGGTTGGCAATCAACTGGCAATATTACTGTAGCAACGGACCTTATTCGAAGAATTCTACAGGCAGAAGGAGCTTGTGGACTCACATTCCTCCCCTGCACAAGAGTGATGATGACAATTTTAGCAAAATAGAGGATGGTGCCATTTGGCTCTCCCTTTCTCTCCCACTCCTTTGCCAGTTCTACAATATTTTTGTCTCCGTCCTTGATTTTGACGTTGTGAGGTTTCTTAAGATTCTCACTTTTTTGAGCATAGAGGAAATTATCAAGGTTGAAAGGAAAAAGCATAGCTCAAAGCAGAGTAAGGCTCGGTGGGTGGGTATGTGTAAGAAAAATAAAGTTTTAAAAATTTGGGATTGTGAGTGGTATAAATAAAAGATTTTAATGTAATTTGCAAAAAAATAAAAAGCTCGATACTATAATTGCAATTATTATTTTCTAATTTTGGCAATTTTTGTTGTCTTTAATGGTTAAACTAACGGAATTGAATAGTATGAGATTTTTTGCACAACAAAATGTTTTATTTCGCATAAAAGGTTTCAAACATGTTTATTTTATTTTTTGGCGATTTTTAATATGTAGGGTATATCGCACATGAAAACGTTTCTAGGTGGATTTTCTGCTATTAATCCAAAATTATATATTTGAGAAGTTGCATGATTAAAAAATTAAGTATTTGTTATTAAGTCCCTACTCCATTAAAAACAAAACTTTGGGAGAATGTAACTTGGAATAATGATTTTCTGGAAAATGCATGGTTAAAAATAATAAAATATTTTGGATTTACGTGTAATATTATTCTATGAAAAAATATGTAATTAAAAATAAGTGAAAAAAGATGTATTTTCTTATGGAGCCATATTAACTCAATAATTTTAGATATTATTATAAATATAGGACATAAGTTAAGGAAAAGCCAAACAATTAACAACTTATAATTTTATTTAACTTACCTTGTCATTGTAAGTATTATGCCCTATGTCTAATCAATTTTGGATATAAATACTTTTATATATAATTAATGCAATTAAATGGCAGATCTATTATTTAATTAATAAACAATTAAATACATAATAGAGTCCGTAAATTCAAATTTTCGTAATTTGTTAATCACAAGGAGTTGTGATTGTGAGATACAAATTACATCTGATTGAATCTTAAATCGTTCGTGGTCGTAAGTGATAACGAGATACGGATATCGTTATTACGGATAGACCATCACGTGTGGCATTTCTTACTTGTGAAGTAAGTAACTGATCTCACAAGTTAAAGTTTGGTGACACTTAAATGACACGTGGATGTTTTGTTATAGAACAAAATATTGGAGACCCGTCGAGAGATTCCACATGGATAACTATCTGAGTGTCAGTAGTTAATCTCTAACGTTCGGTAGTGGATTTGGTTCTTAGACTTGAGGTCCTCATAGTACCTTATATGAGGACAGTCATACTTTGGTGGTATTGGATGTTGCTCTGCAAAGAGCCGCTAATACGATATCGTTCGGGTACGTCAAGAATCGTATGAAGGTTGTAATTGACCAATAAATGATTCCTCACTCTTAGATAGTAGGAGATTATGATTTACGTTTCATTCAATTAAGTCAATAACGAAATCCTTGGCCAATTGTACTCATAAGTCGAAAAGGAGTTTTTATTTTCGACTTATATTGATTTAATAGTGGAGTGAAAGATATGATCAAAATTGGGGATTGACACAATTCTATATCTCGTAATTGATCGGATCATATTGACGAAGGGATTATAGTTTCACGGTAAACGAACGAGTTTGGTTTTGTCACACCACATGACATTTTCGTCACATGTATTGTCCTGACACATTGTTAGATGTCAATCAGGGACGGTGAGTGTGAATTGACGATAAATTAAAATGATGTTTTAATTTATCAATTTTGATTAGATCAAAATAATATTTCACGTCGTTAAATATCGTGGTCGGGAACCTAATGGGTCGCACACAAAAGAGAATTGGAAGATTGCAAAATGCCATTTGGTTAATTTAACAACTGTTGGATAAATTAATTAATTGGATTTGTTATTTATATTCACGAATTAATTAATTGGATTAATTAATTTATGGACCGGGTTTAATTAAATAGATTAATTAAATATTGGATCGGACTGGACTGATCCCATTTGGGTTTATATAAATACATGGCTAGGGTTTGAAATTCATATGGTTTTCATTATTCTTGCTGGCACAAGAGAAAAACCCTGATAGTTGCAATCTTATTCTCTGTGTGGATCACTGTTAGAGGCTGGACAATTGGACAGTTGTGGGTGACGAATCAAGATTGCTGGAACGAAAAGAAAAGCAAAAGGTTTTCAGAATTCGTCAAAGGTACAATCTTTATCACGATTTCTATCTAAACACAAAGGGGTCTTCGGTGGAAATCGAAATAATTTTAATTTTCTACTGTACATGAATAAGTAGATTCCCAACAGTCATATGGTAACTTTTTGTTTCCTTATTATGTTTATCAAAATGAAGTATTTATCCATTTTACCTTTAGAATTCATAATTTTCAAATGCTTCGAGAGAAAGACTAATGTGCTTGCTATTTGTCACTTTAGTTAAAAATTACGGTGCAATGAGGTAAAACAAAGGGCGGAAAAGCAAAAATCGAAAAATAAAAAATTTAGATCTTGCTTGAGCCACATTATTTGAAAAAAATACATTTTTAAATAGTCATTTAACATAATTTCAAACACTCATTCTTCAATAAAATTATATTACACCCAAATTCAAAACATTTCTTTATTTTTTAACTACACATTCTCCATCAATTTACTATTTCAAAGTACATTATTTAAAAATAATATGACTCAAACACACACTTAAAAATGAAATTTGTATATTGATATTTTATCCCGACCCTATCATTATGCCTTTACAATGTTACTTGGTTCAATTCTATTTGTGATCTTTTCTCGTACGTGG